ACTGAAAATTTAACATACAGATAAGACTTGTCAAAATTGTTGTATAATCTAGATTTAAATTATATATCATTTGGCTTCATGGTGTACCTCTTTTTGTAATTTGATCTTTTCTTGCTCTGCCTTTTGAGCTATTTCAAGTTTTTTCCTTAGCTCCACTCCTTGTTTCTGCTCATCTTCTAGCTCTTTTTTCAATGTCTCTACCCTTTGGATGAAAACAGTCATTTCATCTTGCTTAGCCATTGCTGCCGCTGTGCAAAAAAGACAAATTTATCTTTCTTTATTGTTACTTACCATCTAAAACTTAATCATTTAATTATATAATTTATTCTCACCTTTCTCAGCACTCAACTTTGTAATTTGTTCTTCTAGTTTATTCTTTTCTTCCAATAGTTTGTCTTTCTCAGAAATTAATTTTTTATTTTCATCCTCAATTTTTTTCTTGGAATCTTCAATCTTTTTTCCTTGAGTTTCCATATTCTTCTTCTCTTCTTCAAGCTTTTTGCTAAGATCTTCAAGTTTTTTCTTTTCTACAGGACAAGAATTTTAATATTTTTTCAGATATAATAAATAAATTGAAAATAAATGAATTGCATTTCATCAGAAGACAACTTAATTCAAAATAAGGACAAATTAAGTATTTAATATACATAAATGTTCTTTTGTTTTCTTGATCATGTCTTCCAAGATTCATAGTAATAGACGATTCTAAATGAATATTGAAATAAATTATGATTTTTAAAATTTCAATTAGCAAAATTTTAAAATTTGTATTAATAGATGTTTTAATCTTTTAAATGTGAGATCCTTTTCAGTATGTAATATTTCTGAAAATACATAGTTGTGTTACAATTTTTTATAGCAATTAATTTTTTAAATATGAATAAATAATTGTTAATGCTGTTTATAAATAATCATTATAAAAAAATTGTAACACAACTTAATATTATCTTTAAGAATGTGTTTCATGATTTAATGCAGGGGTTCCCAACATGGTCAGTATTGCCCCCTGGGGGTTCATGAAAATTTGAAACGGTTCAATGTTGATGGGGATTAATTGGGGGTCTACAGCTGAATATGAACTGGTGATTTATTGGTATAAGATCAATCAAGATTCCATTGATCTCAAAAAATATAAAATGAACTTGCTCATTAATTTCTTTCAGATATAGAGCAACAAATTATATAAATTACAAATTTGCATCTCTTCTTTCATATCTGTTGTTCATTTTTAGGATCAGGATCAGGGCTTGTGCAACTGGTTCATATTCGGACCCCCATGAATGATATCAGCAAATAATAAAACAAATTGTACTTCATGCTTATTTTATCCATTGCACCAGGAATATTATTACTGTATACCAATTACATTTAAAATTCTTAATTTTATATTCATTGCAGTTAGGGACTCAGTATCGAATTTCTGACTGGGGCATTCCACAACCTATTCCAGAACCCAGCATGGCAATTGCTTAGGTTGTTTAGAAAACTGAAAAAAAATTATAACAATGTTTTCACAACGAGATTCTATTGTGAAGAAAAGAAGTGAATTTCTAATTTATTATTATCTACTTTGTTGTTCTACATTAATAAAAATACTCCCTGCAATAAGAACTGGCATAATGTTTTGGCTATTCAAAAATTCTCAACATTTTTTAACAATTACATAGCAATGAAAATCAGCTATAGCTACTCAGAAGTGAAAGCTTTTCAGATTATTGAAAATCAAGATATTAATAAAAATTTTGGCGAAGAAGATTGTTATCTTTAAAATATTTTGATCAATTCTTTATGTTAAAATTGTATATGATAATTTATAGATAATAAAGTGAGGGGGTTGATGGAGCAAGAGAACAATTCTTTTAAAAGAGGTTGATGAACGAGAAAGGATACCTGATAAAGTGAAATAGTATATTATCATCCCAATCAATTCTGCTAAATGCTATTTTACATTTTACACTAACATTGATTGGTCATGAAACAATGAATGATGGTACAGAATTTAGGATTCTTTAGCTTCTGCTCCACAATACTATGAAAACAAGTGGTGGTATTTGGGGATGACAAAAGAGCCTGTTGCCTCTTGTTGGGAAAAACTAGGGAAATATTTAAGTTTAATATATCAAATATCCCCCTCCCAATAATAGGAGATATGAAATCCTGCCACTGATGGAAATCTGCTTTATGCTTAATACTTAGTCTTATGCAGTAAGGATGTTACTACAGCTAGGCAACATCAAAGTCAGCAAGGGAACACACTTGAAAACCAATATTCATTTACTCATCACAACAATCTTATCTTAATTTCAATAACAATACTATTAACAGTTTGTTTGTGATCTTCAAAGCAATGTACTATTTACCTGTAGATATTCATATAAGTATATGTTTCATGTTGAGTAGATTGAAAAATTAGTGAAAATTAAAATTTCGTGAGCATACTTGTTTCACCACACTTTATTATGAGGGCTTTATTCAATTTGATTAAAAGGTTGACGTGGTTGGAAACATTAACTTTCAATTATTTTTAATATTCAAGAACTATTTTTCTTCATACATTTTACATATTTTAAAATGCAATATTAAGTATAAATGTATTTTTCTATTCTTCAAAATTTGGAAGTGAGATGTAATTAATTAGCATTTGTTATCATTGCTGTATGTGTTTATAAATTGTAAATCCCTTTTTTTTCATAAGGTATTAAAATAAGTAATACTGACCTTCTTCAGCTGATTTTTTATCCTTTGTTAATTTATTTTTCTCTTTTTCGGACTTCTCTCTTTCTTGCTTTAATTCTTTTTCCAGGGATTCAACTTTTTTCTGGGCAGTTTCCAATTTTTCTTTAGTTTCTTTTAAAGACACATCTTCTCCTGCAGTTTTACTTGTTTTCAGTTTTGATTTTTCCATTTCTGATTTTTTAAGTGTAACTAATACTTCTCCTATGAAAATTAAAAGTGAACAGTAGTTAAAAACATTCAAATAAAAATTTTGATTTGCCAGACCAACTTAGAATCAGAACATTTTAAGTGTTACCAATCACCTATTTCACTTTCAAGATCTTCAACCATTTTTTTCAATTGCACTTTACTAGTTAGATCTGTTGGTTTTTTTGGAGTGCGTTGTTTATAGAATTTTAATGCTGCAGCACAAGATTCATCCTTTAGCCTTCTGAGAGTTTCACTTAACTTCTGATTTTCACTTTCAATCTGAAAGAAAAGAAAAAAATGTATCCAGAATTTGCAGAATTTGTTTAGGAAAGCATCAGCCACATTTCTGAAAAGTATGAAGCTATGAAGTTATAATTTGTGGGCATGCTTAGGTCAGTTGTAATGCAGAGAGGGTACACAGAAGAGCTACACCTCCAAAAACATGGCAAAATATGCAAAAGGTTTCATTTTGTAGATTACAACATAGAAGCTCATAATCTTTTGTGGACATGAAATTTAGATTTCAAAGACATAGACAGCAATATTTTAGAATTATGCACAATCGTTCTATGTTTGCAGTAGTATGTGTGTTGTGGATTACATTACCACCTACTGATTTCTTTGTAGCATAATAAATAAAGTTCAGTTTTTATTTTAAATCTCATTGATGGGGAGAGGATATTTCCCTATCCAAACCTATTCACCGAAAAATCTATTGTGGGACTTCTGAGTTTTTGATTGATTGATTAGTGATTCTGGGCATACCAATGGCTAAGTGCATTAGTCCTGCAAGTGTAGTTCATGTTTCCACTCAGAAGGGCGCAGTGATAGTTCCCTACTGGATGATGAGATCTTGCGCCAACCTACCTGTCGGAAAGCAAAGATTTCCCCAACTAGGTACCTCCCGCCAGCAAGGCACAACCCCAGCTGGGACAAGCTCCTGAGTGGTCTTCCTAAATGTGTGGTAGTAAACTGCATGTATGTGTAGGTGTGTGTAAATAAAGATTGATGATAGGACAAGGAAGAGAAAGGAAAGATCACATGCTGTCCATGCTGTTTGCTAAAGTACTGCTTTGACATTCACCTGGTATTAATTGGAGAAATTGTGGAAAACTACTCATCAGAGCAGCCAGCTGGTATAATTCTGCTCCAGACAGTGATTGAATTCAACCTAGAGATCTAGCTGGTGTCAAATATCCTCCCACAATTGGGACTCGATCCTAGGACCTCGCGGTCAAAGGCACTACAGTGACATTAGTAGATACACTGTGTCACCTCTCCCAGTGGGATTTCTGGGTAAATGATGTGTTCTATCCTAAAAAACTCACCTTTTCTTAGCAAATTATGTGCAGAAGGTACAAGAAGTTTTTAATACATTAGGGATTCCCTTAACTAAGGGTAATATGATTAAGGTATCTATTAACACAGATGTTTGAATATCAAATCCACACAGTACCTAATGACCAAGCTTCCTAGAATCCAATCCAAGATGTCAGTGCATAAGCCTTCGTCAAAGATATTCCTACTATAGTTTCAAAATAAAAGTTAAAATTAAACTAATGTGGGGTACATAATTAGAAATTTGTATTATACAAAATAATAGAAATATAAAAAACAAATCAATTTCAAATTCATCTAACTTTTCAGATATTAAAAATTATTTGCATAAATTTAGATTTATTCATGTTTATTCACAACAGAATATATGAAGAAAATCTATGTACATAGAATTTATTCTTTTTCAATAAATTGTTGTCATGGTCATTATTATTGTTGTTGTCATTGTTGTTAATCATGATGACAATAATGATATGCAAAATGATTAGTAGGAGAGTCAAACCATTACTTAAATTCTAATGTTCTTCTAAACTTGTTTTTTTTTTGAAAAGTAACAAGTGTAGTATTTAAATATATTTAGTCAATTTTACAGTAAAAGATATTTAAATTTGTTTAATTACAGGAGAAAAGATTAGTAGGCCTAGTTTCTCATTTAGACGAAAGTTCATGTAAGGAACTAAGAATTACGATCTCAGAAAACAGAGACTAAATTGTATTAATAAAATGAAATATAACTTGCAAATGCTTTTTCTCTATAAGTACCTTTGCAGTCATTTTTAATTCATTTACCTTTGACAAATCTCCTTTCAGTTTCTTTATTTCATCAGCATTTTCTTTTGTATTTTTCTCTCCACTCTTTTCATCAGTCTTATTTTCTGAGTCTTCTTTGCCTTCCAGTTCTTTGATCTAAAACAGCAATGTTACAATTTCAATTTATTTCAAAATTTACTTTAAAACACACATCTTGTTAAAAGAAGCATTTGTCTTGATTTTTAGAGCAGAACATTCATATCCATAATTATCTCTTAACTACAAAAAGAACACACAATGTTAAAACACATTGGTTAAGACACATGGTTTTGAGCAGGGGTGGATTCAGACAATAATTTTAGAGGGTACCATCACAGATTTCTGTTAAATAATAAACATATTTGTCATTAAATTATACATTATTTTTGTAGTGCATTATATAAGATACTATACAATATTTTTTAAATATTTATATAATTCTAACATAAAAACTACCTATTTAAATCAATTTTGCCAAAGAGAGAAAATAAGGTAACAAATGAAAACTCTAGGCCTTAGGGGGGAGGGATATGGGGGCCATGCCCCACCCTCTGCATCCGCCACTGGTTTTGAGTGTTTTCAAGAAATTGATAGGAGGAAACTGGAGGGTACAAGGCTCCTATCATAGACGTTAAAATATTTATTAATAATAATGGGGACTATAATACAGAAGAATTTTGGTGTTATTAGGGTATGTTGCTACAATCACACAAAATCACACGAGAAAACTGTGCGGATTGGAAAGTGCTATGCTTAATTAAGTATATTCTATATGAAATATAGATGGGAATAATTAATAATAATTATTGAAATTTGTTCCTTGCGATGTATCAGGTACTAGATTCAATAAACTAGTAACTCCAGTAGCATAAGGAAATACAGACATGACCTTTCACAAAACTTTTATCCAGGCTCCCTTTATAAAAGTGTATACCAAACACAAGTAGCGTTAGTACCTTAAGTAATAAAAAATATCCCATAAAAATAGGCTCTCTTTTACCTGGGTCCAAACATTACACCACTGTGTAACTTTATTGACAGAAAAGAAGTACAAAGAAATTTAATTATCAATTATCATACCTTATTTTTGGCTTCTGACAATTCAGTTTCCAATGCTGTAACTTTTTCTTTCATTTCTGTTGAGTTATCTCCAGTTGGTTTCTTAGCTCCTCTTAATAAAACCAGTCTTTTATTTTCAGTACTTAATTTTTCATTTTCTGACTCAAGCGCTTGATTTTTACTTTTCAAAATATTTGCTTCTTGTTCTATTACTTGAAGCTGTCGTTTCAGATCTAGTGCCTGTTGCTCATTTCCACTGTCAAGAGATCTGCAACAAATAGTTCATGGTTAGAGGCAAGTTGATCATTCTACACAAATTCTTCTTTCTTGGGAATCAACCTGGAATATGTTTGTTACTATTTGTTCTTTTCACCATAGTTAGTTTGTTATTTGTTTTATAGGTTCACGAAACATAAAAAAAAAGAAGATGAATATATATTTTGTATTTATAACTTTAATAGTATATTCTTTTCAAATCTTTTCTCTCAAAAGATAATCATAACCACTCAGGCATTCTCCAAAGGCTACACTTATGCCCACTATTGTTTCTACTTTTTTTAAATGATACAAAATTTTTATTAAGATCTGTTAAGTACTTACTGTTTGCCGATGACTTAAATCTTTATAAGGAAATTGAATGTTTATTAAATAAACAACTAGTCAACCATTACCAGAGGTCCTTGAGGCATTATCTGTTTCAAGAAATGAAAATAGATTCTCCTTGATTACAGATAAATGTAAGGTCATGGCATATTCTGTGTCTAGATCTGCGATAATATTTCATTATGTAGTTGGTTCCCAAACCCTTGAAAGAGTAGTGCAATAAAATGCTCATGGTGTTATGTTTAATACAAAGCAGAGTTTCCTTTTAAACCATTGTAAATAAGGCTCTCCAAATGCTGGGTTAAACGCAAGCAATCTGATTTTATTTGTTGTTCCTCTTAACAAATTTTGAATCTTACACCAATTCAACCTACACTAATGTAGGCTTCATCGGCTTGGTCTCTTCATTACTCAACCTATAGAAAAATTATTGAAACTGGCCAATCTAATTTTTTTCATACATGGTATAGAAGTTGCAATGACCTTCACCCACCTTATCACTTGAATCTTTCCATATTGTGAGTGTTTTAGACATAGGCACCATAAGCTCCCACAGGAAAATCAGAGATAAAATGTTTATCTATGGGGAAATAAATTGTAATTCTGCCAGCTTAGATAGTTGAGGTTGCTAAGGCTGAAGGGTCATGGTTACTTTTGCTTGAAAGGTCGCTGGTTTGAATCCCACCCCAGGCATGGATGTTTATGAGTCCATTGCGTGTTCTGCTACCATTACCCAAAAAATATTATAAAACCAATGTTCAATTACAGAAAGTGACTCCCTTGTCTCCCTATTATCTTGGGGAATTTCTGAGAGAAAGTTTAAAAACTCAATTATACCTAAATTGTATATAACTCCTACAAAGACAAACTCATGGTATTAAGCCCCAATGTGGGGACGTGGAGGAAGATAAATTATTTAAAAACTTAAGTTGGACATAATATTTGTTTAGTTTTCAGAACTACATTTGTTATTCTTGCTAAAGATTTAATTCTTCACGATAACTGTTAACTTTTAATGTTATAATAATGTTAAATAACTTTTAAGTTTATTTTTAATGTATTCTAAAAATATATTTATGTTCTTGTAAACTAACCACTCATGTGTATTTACAAAAACAAAACAAAAAAAGAAAGTCATATAAAAGTAGTTAACAGAATGATATTTTTAATTGAAACTTACTTGCTTTTCTGAATGGATCCTTTAGAACGCTTCTGAGTCAAAGTAAGTTCTGCATGAAGCCTTTCTACATCACGCTCCTTTTCTATAAGCTTCATTCGGCATTCAGAAAGTTCTTCTTCTAAAACCTGCAATACAATTCTTATTAGTGTTTAATGTTCTGTCAAGGAAACTGTATTATACCTATGTGATTTTATAAGAGTGCAGAACACAAGGTTTTTTAGTTGAGAGTAAGTCTTTTATCAGTAATTCTTTTCCAATGAATCTCTTTTAATGTTTCTTATAATAAAGAATTGGGGTAAATGTGAGTTATAAAAAATTGGGAAATAAAAATAGGATACTATGAATGATTTGAATTACAATTAAAATTATAGAAAATTTTTATATTTTGTTAGAGCTTTAGTTGAGAACTTTCTTACAAGTATATTTTAAAATCAATAAAACTTATACTAATTTGGAGTTAAGCAAATTCAGAACACATATGTCCAACCTTAATTTTCTGTTCATATACAGCATTTCCCTTTCCAGGCTCTGGTGTCACTATTGATGAAGCTGATAGTTTCTTAGTAGGTTTTGTATTTAGTTTGTCCTGAAGATCTTTCACTTTCTTTTTTAATTTGTCTCCCTCCTTTTCAAGCTCATCAACTTTTCGACGCAAAACTGCAGCTTCCTGGAAACAAAGGTAGTAGTTATTAAAACAGCAAATTTTGTTTTTGTGCCAAGAATCATTAGCCAAACCATTGTTTTATCATTCATTTTTATTGCTAGGTTCATCACAATATAACATGCATGATTGGTTATCTAATACTTGATTGCACAGTGAGGGTGAGCTGTGAGGTGTCTCTTTCTATTATTATATCTACTCCCCAGAGGTCGAATTTCAACAATTAATTTTGTACTTAAAAACCTATCCACTTACTAATTTGTAATAATGGAATTACAGCTTCTCTTTACCATATTAAATGTATACTAATAAAGTTAGAAGTTACTTCTGTATACCCTCAAATAAATTTATTTCTTGAAAGTATTTCAATATTAAAACCTCAAAATTACTGAAAATGGAGCTTTGATTCTTGACCTCTAAGGTACAGATTGTACATTATCATCTTTAGCTTCTTAGTTAACATGTTCATTGCAAACATATCTTTCATTTGTCTTTGGAAAGGAATACTGTAATGATGTTATAACACACCCAGTGCTATAATAAATCCACTAGTACTATAATGAAGCTTCTGAGAGCATCCATGGTTGTGCACTAGTCAAATAATATCACATCATTGTAGGCAAAATGTGTTAAAAAATTGCAATTTATTTATATTAGGCAAATAATGAGACAAAGAGTCCTCAGGGACCCATATTATTGTTTATATGTTTCTTATGTTGAAGCAATAATCTGAAGTTAATCATTCATTTTTATTAGTTAACTCACTTAAAAAGATCAGATTGCATTAGTAAATCTTATTGTGAAATTCTTACATAAATACTTCAATTATCCCAAATGCATTGCAAAGGTCTGTAGAACACTGATTATTCAAGGTTTGATTAACTGAGGTCTAATTTTGATCCGTTATTTCCAATTAATCAATGCTTCAACCTCAATGTTTATCATTTATTAATTGGATTTTCTAATTAACCTTCAGAAGTTTAGGACTGATTCCTGTTACACAATTGATGATTGGAGTTTTCAAAGGCTGTAAGTGTCAGAGATATTACTTCCTATTTACTGAGAAATTATAAATTAATAAAATAGTTTCAGGGATTCTTACAGGCATGCCCAGAAGGTGGGGCTGCTGGAACAACTTTTCCCAGACTCTCTCTTAAGTGGACCAAACTTTTTTTCTCATTCACAATAAATAAAAAAATGTATTTACTTATAATTGAAATTAAATGATCTAAGTTATTTCTGTTGCCTGGAGAAATAAATTCAGTTTATATATTGAGAGCAGATTTTTTTGTTTGAAATAAGGGGCCCTGATGTATTAATTGCCCCTGACTTCTTGTTTTTTCTGGGCACTCCCAGATTATTTTATCAGTAGCAGTGTCATTATCTCATTTTTAATATCTTAAAGTACATGATATTTCTGTTCCGTGCCAAAAAGTCTAGAAAATATTGCATTAAACTCTATTTTTTTCATGTATCACAGGAAGTACCTTTAGAACTTAATACCTCTGAGAAATTCAATATACAATGCGCAATTTACTCTTTAAACATACCAAAATTAAAGTTCAGATACTTGTGGCAAAAAGTTAAGTTAGTCTTCTGTGTTTTTTCTCTTACTTGTTCATTAAGCTCCAGTTGTAGTCGCAGCTCTGCTGGGTCATCTTCTTCAGCAATTCCTTCATCTTTTTCTGTTGCTGGCTCAGGTGTCATACGAGCAGGGCTGGGACTTTTAATTCGGCCTATTGAAATGACACTCACAATGACATAAATATTTAATGTCCATTGATCAATATAAATAATATTATGATTCATTTCTGAAGCATAGGTTATTAACAGGTGGCAAAATATGTGTTCAATGTATTTCTTACATGTCTGAACACCAAGTTTTAAAATAATTTTCCATTTTTTGTTTCTATGTATTAATTTAGATTAATTTATTACAATTGAATAATTATCATTGCAAATCCTCACAATCAACTGAGTAAATTAATTGAAAATATTATTAATAGCCAACCAAAGCATAGATTTTCAGAAGAAATATTTGGAGGTCAGGAATGTAAGTACAAAACTACTGAGGCATTCTGAACTCATGAGCTCTTGAGCAGAACTCATTCTGCACTATGTTAGAATTCTTATCTTTCAAGTAAAGCATTCATTACTTTAGTAAAAAGCCAATAATGTTTATGTAAACAATCAAAGTTAATTTATAGTTCAATGAAAAATATTTAAAGCATAGAATATGGCATCAGTTCATTACACAAATTTCAGCAAATACAATAAGTGATTAATTTCAAGTTAGATGTTGAAACAATTATTTAGACATCATACATTCTGTATTTTGCAAACAGGGAGAAATGGAACACAATAAATTTTATACATATGACAACTGAATGAGGGTAATTGAAAATTGCATTAAGACATGTTACTCAAGCAGTTAATGAACTATAACATATTAATGTTGCATGCTATGTGTTAAGGTACCAAAATGATTAATTACATGAATAAAACATTATGTGATTTATTAAGGAATGTTGGCAATAATGTCTGAAATGAATAAGAAGAAACTTTGTGCACTAACAAGAAAGACAAATAATTATATACGAAATATAAACACAAAGCTTGAGAAGTTAAAATAGATTGCTTGTTAAAATTTCAGATTTAATAATTCCTTGAAGAACATATAAATTAGAATAAAAAAGATATATAGTAAATATTTTAATGCAATAAATATTAAAAGCTTGTCTCTCTTGTTGAAATGTATACTTGAATGAAAAGATGCCAATGTTCTTGTACCAATATCAGTAAATCCAGAAATAGCTTTTGGAAAAAAGGTTTCATGAGAGAGAATGCCAAAGATGTTCATCGGATATTGGCACCAATCCCTTCACAATTGAATCAGTTAATGCAGCCGTAGAAAATGGGCATGGCTCAGAAAATGAAAGTTAAATTAAGGGAGCAAAAGTGAATAGCATATTAGTGATGGATATCATTCTTTGTAAAGGGGACTTGAAAATCGGAGAGTAAATATATATTCTGATTACAAAATACTTCAGAAAAAATTTATGTGGGACAAACTGTCTAAGTCATAACATACTTCTGGCCTTAGTAGCCATTTTCTTCAGCTGCAAGACCAGTGATTCGTTATCATCCTCCATCCTTGCAGTCTTCTTGCGTAGGGTTTGTGCCTGAAACCAAGCAAATAGGGATCATTTTATTTAATATCCATGAACATTTCAACATAGTTTTGAGAGGAAGAAATACACATTCCAAGGACAAAACAACTAACTTTTAAGCAGTGTTAAAACTCATAACGTTGGCTTGTGAGTATTTGGCACTTGTTAAAAAAAATCATTAAAATATGTGAGTAAAAAAAATGAAATTAGTTCTTCACATCAATGTAGAATATCTACACTAAAATATTTGCAGAATTATAAGTACTCTAAGCTTCAAATCAATGAAGCTCACCTCTGTAATCTCTCAGACATCAGTATTTAGAATAAAATATTGGAAAAAATAGAAGGAATAAATACTTTCATAAAAAAAATGCCTTTGTACATATGATGTACAACAAAATTATCTTGTTTCTGACTCATAACTAGATATGTTATATTTAATATTATTTATGAAATAAATATTTCTTTTGCCTACTACAAATTTTCCTTAAGTTTCCTTTGGTGCATGTCCAACACAAATGAATAATGGGGATTGTTACTAAATCACATGTTTAGTACTTTCAGAATGTGTTAGACTTAACATTATTTTATGGATATTTTACATAGTTGTAATGAGGTTATTTTTGTTATTTCACAAAACAGTTGGAATGTGTATTTCTTGTGCTGTGAGTGAAGTTTTCTGAAGAGAAGAGAAGCACACTATATTGCAAGTGCCAATTTCTAAACTGCATACCTAAGGGAGTCTTCATCAGCATTCCCATGGGTGAGCAGCTAGAGAGAAGAAATCGAGCAGGATAAAGAGTTGACATTGAGAACTGCATCTGCCTTGCTTCACTGAGACCAAGAGGAGGAAATGTTGCCCTTCCATTACTTTGTTCCCCAGTTTTTGAGAAAATAATTTGAGAAACAGTTTCAGTGTCTGTTATTGCCATACTTTCTGTTTGTTGCTGTTGGCACTGCCTACACAAGTAATCCACTACTTGTGAATTTTCATCTTCTAATTTTGCTTCACAACTTATATCTCTTGTTTCAGGAGATAATGTTTGTACTGATGATGAGGACTGATTTACACTTTTAGTTTGCACTATTTTTTCCTCATGAGAATTATTATTATAAGTTTGCATGCCTCTTGATTCACAATTTACATAAGTCTGAGTATATTCTGAACACTTTGTGTTATTGCAGGATTCAGTTTGAATTTCACTATCCTTTTGTAAAAACGAAGACAAAATGGTTTGAGTAATCATTTCTCTATGTTGTAAATAAGATGTTTCAGTTTGTGTTGACTTTCTTGAAGGAAGTTTACATGTGTTTTCAGTTTGTGTGTATTTCTGCATCTTTTGTTGATTGGTGCTTCCAATTATATGAAGAAATTCAGTTTTTTCAAAATTAATTTCTTTATACATTTGTAGTTCATCATGTTCATAAAAATCTCTTGAAGGTGACTGAGTTCCTTTGGATTGCTTGATGATTACTGGTCTCATTTTGGAGCTCAATGTTTCCTCATTATCTTCCTCACATTGTTCTAATTTCTTGAGAAGAGTTTGTGTTCCAACAGACAATGAGAAAGCATCATCTCTTTCAATTTCATCCAGAGTTAGAGAATAACTTGGGTCATGTCTCCTGACAGGCTTGAATCTTGCTCGTCTCTGAAGCTAATAACATTGTTTACTAAAGATTTTTGATTTTCAGTGCATTTCAGCACATACACAATTTTAAATACAATTAAAAAATATTTTTTTAAATGTGTGTTAAAAGTTGAAACATAATTAAGAATTATTTACAATATATTGAACATTTTTCTAATATGTTAAATGTATTGTGAATTACAATGTATTGGAACATTGATTCCAATATAATTCTCAAACAGACTAGGTATTAGTTATGTTTATTCCATACGATTTTACCCATTGCAAATGACGACAATAACATGATTCAAGTTTACATATTAATGTGGAAGTAAGGTAGGATGCTATTAGTTAAAAATATGTACAATTGTTATTACACAATTGTTATTAAATATACAACACACATCTGGATTCCGAGATCTTTTTCTGTTTTCTCAAACTACATCATCATAATTTTACATCATCCTCATCATCATTTTTCAGATTACTTTCTTAAAAAACAAGCGTGACAATAATGTGTAAAATATTTTCAGAAGAAATGAAGTATTGTCTCATTTGTCATAAGTTATATACTGAGGAGTCACATTTACTTATTTCCAATTATATTTTTGGCCAATTTTGATGAAATGAATTGGGATGTAAATATTGCATGAAACTGACATTTTACCTTTTTATGTATTTATTTTTTGTGAAATGTAGAAGATATTTAAGATATTTCTTGAAAGTTTACAATATAGTGAATACATTCAGTTTTCTGCAATGTTTTCATACATTTCAAACAAAAGCAATTTGATTGAATGTCATTTCCTTGACTGTATTTAAGAATTGCTCATCTCTCAAAATTGAAGAATGTAGACATTGAGAGCAATGAGATATTTTATTAACATGAAAAATTAGAGTCAAAAGCTAGATAAGTAGCCCATTATATTTATTCTCATACACATAAAATGTAAGTTGGGCCTAACTAAAACAGTGCAGCAAGTAGTTATTTAGGTAGACAAAGAAACAAAGAAAGAAAGCCTATTAGAATTAGGCTAAATTTGACTGTACAATGACACTCCACAATAAGAAAGAGTAAATTTGGAGAATTGAAAATGACCTTGTACTTGAGTTACGTTATTGATATTTATGCTATGATTTTCTTCTTCCAATTTTATAATATATTTTGTCCATGTATTCATCTGATCACCTGTCTCCAATTCAGATATTGTGATTACTATTGAATCACAAATTCATTCCATAGAGTTTGGCACTTCAAAGAAGTGCTATAGATGATATAATCAGATAAAGAGAATGACATATCTATGAATACATGATGCAAGATGCCTTCCTAGATGAATATTCCACAGAGGAACTTATTAGGTATATTTGAAATATTGTCTGAGAGTATCTATTGGCAGCAGGAAATTTCCCTCTTGAAGAATCTCCCCAATGACCCACTTGTAAGTTCACAATTAGTGTGACATGTGCCTGGACTCCTGACATGGGTGGAAATGTAGTTCATATGAATGAAAGTGTGTTTGAGTATGAAGAGAGGATAGAACAAGGAAGATAAAGTGTGGTCCATGACCTTTTTGTTACGAAAGTACTGCTCTAGCATTTTCCTGGTATTGCTCAGAAAAAAACCCTGATCTAATGATCAGAGCAGGTGGCCTCTAGAATTTTCCTCCAGACAGCAGCTGAATTCGATCTAGCCACATAACATGAAAATCCTCCACTACCAGGACACAACCCCTACATCCTTCTGGTCAGAGGTGCTGCAAAGACAATGGTAATAATGGCTCTGACCTAACAAAACTGGACACAGGTCATAAATTGATACCAATATAATACATATTTTGCTGATATAGAAGAGACAACTTAATATCAAAGGATGAAATAAATAGACCAGTAAAAATATATTCATTTACTACAGAAGTGACAAAACAAATATGCTGCATGAAAAATGCACTGTTATCACTACCAACAAAGAGATAAAAAATACAAAACGAAAATGTCAATACAAGTTTTTGGTGAAATAAATCAAGAAGAGATGAAATAGGCAATGAAGTTAGGAAGTTCACAGAACAAAGAAAGAAATTCAAATTTATTGACCTGAGCTAGCAGGATATCACAAACATTAAAAATAAGTAATTAGAGAAAAGTAAAAGATATTTCAGAAGAGGTGTGAGTTCAGACATTGAACTCACAATCCACAACATTACAGTTAAGTCAACTCTGATCTGTTGGGTACAAACATCAGAACACAAAAATATATTAATTAATATTAGAAAGGGCATCACCAAGCCAGATTATAAGATTCTCTCTAGAGATAGTTAGATGAAACAGAAGGAAATGAAGACTAACAAAAAGAAACAGAGGTTAAGAATGTTGCATGGAATACAAGACGTTAAAAATAGAGTGTTGGGATTTGCTGGAAAAAAAAATAAATACGTTCTTTCAGGTATCTGTGATTTACTTCGAAACATAAAAATGAAGGTTAGAAAAACAAAGGTACACCAAATATTGAATCACAAGAGGCAGGATAACTAATCCACAAATGAAAAACTAATTGAAACTAATTGAAGCAATTAAATTCCCAATAGTTCATGATAATGTTTTTCTTCATGAATAGTCTAGTATTTCATCAAATATACATTTTACTCATGCAGATTATCTTATTTCAATAAATAAGAGATTATCTTTCAAAGGACCATGTTAAGTCCATGACCTCCATGATTTCATCCATTTTGATCCATCTTTGTGAGAAAAAATGTGAGCAATATATTACTTTCCATTACTTTCCAATATATTGCTTTTCCACAACTAGATCAACATTACTATTTTAGAGCATGCACTAATTACAACTTTTAAACATTTATCAGTTGTATTAAGTACAAGAAATCTACAATGATAGCTCCTCTGATAAATTATTTGATTTTGGTGGAAATGTACCTCCTCCTCTGCAAACCGTAGTTGTTCTCGCAAGTCAGCCTCTCTCTCCATGGCATCTTGAAGGTCCCGGAGCAGTTGAGCAGGATCTTCTTGAGAACCACCTCTTGTGAGGGACTCTCTTGACACCCTCTGTAATAGCAATACATTTTTTGGAAGTTTGTAAACAAGAAATTAACTAAAAGCATTTACATTAATAGGACACTGCACAAAGCATTGTAATGTTTCACTTTTTCCTTTTTTTAAGCACCACCAGACATATGGCTTCATGTTTTTGTGTCCTTGAGGTGAAAGGGGTTAGAAAAAGGGGTTATATTCTATGTTCTGGCTGGTTCCTTCCCTTCCCTTCCTTCTAGAAACTTCTGATTAATAATATTGTCCCACCAACACAAGAGTAACATGGTATATTCCTAAACTAAATGGTTGAAAAATTTCATCCATTTCATGAATCCAAGTAATTCAAAGATGGGTATTTGGATGTTCAGCACACATCAATGCTAAATACAGGAGCACATCTCCTGCAACCATTTAATATATTATTTGTAATCGCTATTTATGGCCCCATGATGGAATGGAGAAAAAATCAAACTTAACAGAAAATCATTTTCTGACTAGGTGAAAAGTGATTCAAACATAATATTTAATTTTTAGCAAAAGGGAGGTTAAACTTTAGTACTTACTAAATGTCCACTCATGTCAGCAAGCTTTGGAGCCTTCTTTTTTGTAACTGTTGCTTCGACTTTTGATGCAGCTTCTTCTTTTTCTTTTAGCTTCTCTTTTGTTTCATCCAGTTCTTTCTGCAGTCTACTAGCCACCTAAAATAATAAATTACAATTTCATAATTGTATTATTTGATGCGAAAAACACACTTAGAAATTTATGACAATGCAGCTAGAGATAGTTTAGTACTCTATTGATTTTGATATGAAGGAAGGATATTTTAACATATACTTTCATTAACCCTTGAACCATGCTTGGGGCCTTTTTAGACCCTAGAATTATTTATTTATTAGTATTTCTCTGAATATTTACAGTATGTATGCCTTATACTGATCAAGAAAGTTCTAAACAATTTTCAGATATTTTCCAAATAGTATTAGAGATATTAATATTTTTGTTACACGGGTCTTAACTGATCTGAGGTAAAGTTTACGATATTTTCACATTGTCATTTGAAACAGCTTGTCATAAACACTGGTAAATGTTTCTGATGCCATCAGTGTTTGAATTTTCCTCTTGAAAAAACTTTCAAAAACTCATATATAAAACTGAAGCATTACATATCAAAAATGGAGGCTATGTACAGTGGAGGTTATCGTTTATATGAAATATTTTATATTTATAAATTATATTCATTATATTATTACAAAAAACTATAAAAAGGTTTTCTTGTATAAGATCATTCATTTACACTCCATTATTACTGTTTACATTTATATTCTCCACATCAGCTGGCAATAAAGTATGGAATCCAAAATGACCCCATATACAGAACTTAACAGAATAAAGAAGATATGATACAAGGGTTAAAGAAGGTAGAAAAAGTTCAAGAAGTGCTCAGAACATACTTCTCTTTGATACAACACATATGTTTTTTAATGTTTTTTGATGATAAATAAATAAAGTCAAATAATTAAAAATAGTAAAACATTATTTTTGAAATGAGAATGAAAAATGTTTATTTTTATTATAGATTCCCAAGAAAAATAAAACATAACCTATGTTTTTGAAAATATAATGGATTTGTGTTTGAACTTAAAGTTTGCAAATAAAATACATTTGTGCTGTAATGAGATGTAACTGAGTGGCTAATGTTGAATAAATTTACCTCATTAGCAACACTGAGATCATGTTCTAGCTTAGTTATCTTTTCAATTTTTTCCAGCCCTGTCTGCCCACCGGCAATCTGCCTGCACTTTCCTTCAAGTTCCAATTTTTCAGCTTCCAGTGTTTCAGTCTTGCGTTCTGCTTTACGAAGTTTAAATGAAAGAATGCGGCAGTTCTTAGTAGTTTGTTCTAATTCCTTCTTCAAGGATGTGTATTCATCAGCTTGATCCTCTCTGTATTGGTTAGAAATGAAAAAAAACACAATTCAAACAATATAATGAGATCAAATTAAATTCATTCATTAATTAACACAAATTATAAATAAGATAGAAATGAACCAAAAAAATTATAAAGAATATAAATATGTAAATATAGGCCAATATTTTAATGTGAACCAACTTAAGATCATGTTGATGTTTGCACACCTGAAATTATCCTGCATTTCTTCTATTTCTTCTTCTAAATCTCGAAGTTCACGTTTCATATCTTCATTTTCATCCATCAGTTCTTCACATAAAGTTTCCGCAGCAAGTAATTTTGACCGAAGATCATCCATTGCTCTCTGAGTAGCTGCTTTGTCTGGTCGAGAATCCATCTCCTGCTCCAGCTCTTTTACTCGAAGTGACAAACTTTTTTTGTCATCTCTCATATCTTCCAATTGAGTTGTCAACTCATTAATTTTTTGTTGCAGTCGATTAGCCTAAATTTTTATTAAAACAAAAGAAAACAGTAGTAAAAAAAATATGTTAATATAGAGTCATTGCATCTGTAAAAACTGCTATGTGGGAGAATGTCATTTTATAGGAGAGATAATGAAAACTTTCAAATAATTATTTTTCTTTGTATTGCACATGTTAATAAACCATATTCTCTGTGTATAACAAACATAGGAAAGACAACGATTTTGTACTATTGAGAAGAAACTATTAATATAAAACTCTATAAGCGTGCTGTAGATAATGATAAGAGAAGATTTATAAAGAGAAGGTACATGCAACCTGAAACATCCTTTATGTTGCATACAAGGCACGCCTCTAAAATGATGCATCCTATGTCATTAAAACTAGGTTTTTGTGTCCTTCAAGAGACATGAGCTATGTTTCTTATGAAATATCTTGTACAAAATGACACCTACTAGAACATCCAGTTATATTTTTGGAAGATACCGCCAGTCAATAGCATGGGTTGTCAGAATAGTTTGAAGTTGGTTACCAGTATGGTGCTATTTTCACTTTTAAAAAATGATCTATAAAGTGCAAAATGTTTTCACAAATTTAATTTAATTATAATCCTTAATATTATTTATTTAACTATAATTGTATTTAACTATATTTCTTACAATAAAGGTATGATTATATACAATTAATCGTATCAATAAATCAATATCAATTAATCAATTCAAATATGGTTTCATTTTTATAGAGAAAAACAATTCTGTTTTTGCAGGTGCAATGACAATATTTTAATCAGCAAAAAGAAGAGAAAGGTCCTATGCCATACATTGAAAAAACTTTAAATACTGACATTCAGAAAAAAATCATGTTCTATTATTAAAATTCGAGAGTTAAAATATATTAAAGTGATAGGTTTAATTTTAAGCTTGTGTATTGTTAATAAAAACTTAGAATTAATTTTCCTTTAAGAAGAAAAGTAGTAAAAATTAAATTTGTATGTTTTCTAAGATAATGTTTTTGGCTGGGGTTGCTGAATAATGATGAGTTACTGAGAAGCCATTGCCTTGAATAACTTATCAGTATATTCACCTCAGTAGAAGACATACGTGATGAAGGCATATCTATAGAAGCAATGCGTCTGAGGAGAAGATCGCTTTTTTCTCTTTCAAGACGGTCACAACGAGACTTTGAAGTTTCAAGCTCCAACTTCAGACTTTCAATTTGTTCCTAGAAAGAATAATAATAATAATAAAAGAACTAACAAAAATAATTACAAGAAGGAAATAAATTTTTAATGGGCTACAAAGAGTAAAAATACAATTATCAATTAGATCTTACAGAGTGTAGATAGGTGAAAGTAAACATTATGGAGAGAAAAATAAACAAGAAAAAGTTTTAAGAAAATTGATTCTTTAGAGAAATCATGTTAGGAAATTTGATTTAAATTCTAATATAGCTTTCTGAAAAAAGTTGAGAATCTGAGAATAAATATAAAAGTGTGTTAAGTAAAATGGAATCACTATAAATTTTTAATCTATATCAAAATACATTTCCTCTTACCTGCAATTCACTTTCATTGCGGTCTATTAGTGTTGTCTCAGTGGTTTCAGTTCCTGCAGTACTTGTGGCATCATCACTGTCTTCTTCATCATCAGAACTAGTGCCACTACTTGATGAACTTGTGACTTTCATTGATGGAACTTTCAGGTTGTTTGATAAATCATTTGTGTTAGGTGTTTTTTTCTTGGAAGATTTTACCTATGAACATTAACAAGAGAATTTTTTTATATGGACAAATTAAAGTTTGAAATACAAAATATTTGGTCAGAATAGTATTTAGAAGTGAAAAGTTTGAAGTTCAATAATAAAAGCAAGTCAAAATCTAATGTCAGAAATTATTTCTCATTTATGTAAATTATAAATACATTTCTGTTATTAAAGAATGGATGAAAAATCAATATTTACTTTTAAAAGATTGCCTTGTAAAATTATAAAAAAAATATCAAGCCTAAAAACACGTGAAGAAATAAACGGAATTTAATTAAGGCAAGAATGTCCTTCTTAATACAGGTACTAATACCGTATTTAATCATCTGCAGAATTATAAGCCTGTTCCATTATTGAATTTACAGCTTCTAATGTTTAGGCCATTTTTTGTCTCACGAGTTCGTGATCTTTGGAGGCAGCGTGAACGATGTTTGAAGCCCCGAAAAAGTAGAGCAGTGATGTCAATCTCGTAGTTACCACCTGTGAGACCCGGTGCCGTAATTAGAGGCGAATCTACGTATTCGGGCGTCCATGGCAAGCATACAAATTGCGCCCCTGTCAGGATACTTCAAATTAGTGTTGTTATCATTTTTTCAGCGGGTATTCTACTCTAAATAGCGCCCCTCGTGAGGGGAGCCCTGCTATGCCTGGCATTACGTAGATACTTCTCGGGACGCAATGAAATCTCCCCTTCACGTCGTTGACCTCGCCACTAGAGAGCAACAGGAACTTACACGTGAGATATAGTTAGGTGCCGGTTAGAAAAATGAATTAGTTTGGTCGTTTCGTTCATTCACATTTTTACTTCTCTTTTTCTGTACACGTCCTCTTCTTCACAGGACCAAAGTGTTTCATATCTTTAGATGAACACACTGCTATGGATTTCGTCACCGCTATCGCTGAATGAAAACCAAGTACTACAAGTACAGTAAACAAGTACTACTTTCCATTCAGGCCATCAATTGCATTGATAAGCTCGCGGCAACCCACGGTGACAGGAGGAGAGCCATCAGTAGGCAACATTGACATCACTGGAGTTCATTCCCAGTCGCGACTTGAAATGTATAGTACGAGTAGCATTCTTTTCATAAGATACCACTCTTAATGAAATTTTCTTCTGCGAAAGGATGTCCTTGGAAAGATTCTAAGTCAAAAGCCTACGATACACTCAGGGATGGCGTAAGTTCACGAGGGCGCTTCTCGTCCTTGGTTAGCGTGCCAGCGTAGCAGAAAACACCTTCGAGCATTCCGATGGCCGTGTGCTACATTTTTTTTCACTTTGAAAATCGTAATGGATAAGCAAGTTAGGCAAGTTATAAAAACTGACATGTACAGAACGAGGATGACAGACCAAAAATATCATTAAACATTAAAAATTATTATGTACTTGTCGGCACTTAATTACAACAAAAAGTCTTCCGAAATTTTACTTGCCTGAGAAGATGCCATATCATTGGAATAATAATTTTAAACATTTCATGCGAGGACAGCTTCCACGCTGCATGAATGTCTATGCGATTCTGAAGTTCAGAAGTCGAGCCAATGATGATCCAGATAAGTCGGACTGGCTCTCAAAAGTTTACTATTAGCGTGAGAAGTTCGAAAGAGACAGGTCAACAGATCGTTATGTTGTCGAGAGCACAACAATAAGTTTGTTTTCGACACATCGAATCTCAGAACTGTCCAGTGGCATTAACAGCTTTGATGACTCACTCCATCTGCCAGCTGAGAGTCAGTGGGGACAGAATGCCTTGACTTGAACAGGGATTCTATAAAAACCTAATTCAAAATATAAACACCCAATTACAAAAGCATCAATGATATTTGTGTGTTAATTGACATTCATTTCTGCGCATCTTGCGCTTATTAAGCTAATTATTACATTCCGGAGCTCAAGAAAATGTGCACTTCTCTCCCATACGTAACACAGATTTTAGTTCTTTTTGACGTTAAATAAATACAAGTGGCCTGTCGCAGTAAAAAGTCTGTCGAACAAAATCACATAAAATGATTTTTCAAAAAGTAGCACGCTCACTGCTCAAGAACAACAAATAAAATCTCTCGTACAAGTGCAATAAATTAAATATTTTAACAAAAACAGACTTCATGAATACAGCAACAACACAGTATACAGGAGTAGTACAAAAAAGTCCCTTTCCATAACGCAACGTGAAATATTTAATGGCAGGCGGCCTACAACCTTAATGTTGTATGACGTTGACTGTGTCGTAAGCAGTGACACACAAGCACAAGATAATTCAGGCGGTACGTGAAGTATGAGATTTGGTGGAATTACACAATCAAATATTTTTTCGATTCAAATGGAAACTGATTCATTCTTTTTGGATTTTTCTCGAGTTCCTGGGTACCTAACCAAACAATGGACACCTCTTACATGGTCAGATGCTGCATAGTTTCCTTTCAATTTCGGCGCGCTTTGAGAATTAGTAATTAATTTATTATTAACCCATGGAATCTCTTAAAAATCTTACGATATTCAAAGGACGTCCTTGTATTGTTTTACTAACATTCAGTAAACCGTACCGTGAATTCTTTCTAGTATATTGTTACTGAAACCGGAAGCAATCGAAGATAATTTATTCCCTTCCCTGCTCTCCTTTCCTGTACCTCTCAGACACAGAGCCACACATATGTCTATCTTGTTGATAAGTAGTAGTATTTTAAAGTGTAGTATCTAAAGGATTTTTATATGAATAGGTTGGTACTCAATTTGTACGGACTGTTTGCGGAAGTCAGTGTGATCTGGATGCAACTGTTTAGTAATTAACATACGAATTAATAACTATTGAGCGAAAACGTGTCTTGAGGTCCTCAGTGAGCATGGCAATCATGCATTTTTCCACCGAAGACGATAAAAGGGCAGACGATTATTATTTGGATCAGGTTTGAGGAAGGAGAGTGGAACTAAAATTCGAGCAGAAATAAAGAAAAGTAATAAACCAGTCTATTGTTCTGTTACCAGTTCATGGTTATGTCATTTGCGAAAGTTAAATGGATTAAATCTATATACGTACATTAATATTGTAAATGTATTACATCCACGGCTTTTTTACTCCTTGAAGAGAAGAACAAAATTTCGTAACAGGATTTTATAAAAAGTTACTAAAAGGTTTTCCTCTGGCTTAGTGTAAAATTGAGCGTTAACTTTTACTTTCGCCTTGCTTCTTCATTTAGGATCCAGTGGTTTTTGTTAAAGTTTTCATGTTTAATTGAAAAATAACGTTTTTGACGTAGCCTCTAGAAAGGCTCATGGGCAGCTACTAGTTTCCTGCGGTGTGGTCCCTGGTTTGATTAAAGAAAAAATAGAGTTGTAGCTGTCCTTTAAAATCGTCTCAGTTTCTGTACCCGTGTGACGAAGAACAGCTCCGGAAGGCGGAGGGCGCTAGTTGTGGCGAAGGGAATACGCCGCGTCCGTCACACGCCTCTCTTACCCTTCCCCAAGCGGTGGGAATAAAAGTAGGCTACGCACGGGGAATACCGTTAACTAGTCCTCAAAGTCGCACAATCGACCCCAAATGCGAAATACATACGTTTTTGACGTTTACTCTTCTGCGAAATGCACTCTGGGAGGTCTGCGAGGGGAAGACGGGTGCGGCTGGGGCACTGACCTGGATGATGAACTCCACCTCGGGGTTGGTGGGCTCCTCCACCGAGTGCACCTCCTTGAAGGACTGGATGCGCACGCGCCGCTGCCGCGCCGCCGCCTCCGCCTTCTCCGCCCTGTCCTTGTCCTTGTCCTTGTCTGCCTTTTCGGCGGCCGTCCCTCTGCGCGAGCGCATCGCAGCGCTCGAAGACGACGACGCGGTCTTGGCCGCCTCCGACGTCTCCGCCGCCGCCGACGACGAACCCGAGCGTCGCCGCACTGTGAAGCTGTCGCTGCCCTTGTCTGCTGCGGAAGATGAAGAGTTTCGATGAGGTAAAGCTCCCTTCCGGGACTTTAAAAGGGAGTGTTACTTTACCCCGAGGAAGTATTTAATGCGGAGTTCGTGCAAACCTGTGCATATGATACGTACGAGTACGTTGCATATTGAGACTGTTAAGGTGTATTTATATATGTATGCAAATATAATATATTGTGATGGATTTTGAGCGTTCAACTTCTGCGTGTGGCTAATTTCATTCATATGAATTGATTTACTTAATATTATTTTATCCTCTAAGAGGTATTACGTGAATTTGTCAGGAAAACAGCAAATACTTGTAATAAAATAACCTTAAAATTTAATTTATTTCACTTACATGTCTGTAAATTTATATGCACAATTGTAATAAATGGATTTATGTAAATTTACATCACCAACCCTGTTATATTAACTATAATGTGTTAACATGGCAAGGTATAATACATACTTTCTGATCTTGAGCAGTTTTTTTTTCATTTCGGGAAACATTATTTTTAAGTCACCTGCTTTTGTTTACTCTTTGAAGCTGAGTTAAAATATTTTCATTAATGAAAAAAATATTAATTCCTGAGGTTTGAATACGAGGCCTCCCGTACTCTTATTATATCTATTATGAACCACATTCAAACCACTGTGAGATGCCACCTCCTACTCGCCCACATACAATGTCGGTCATGTGGTGGAGGTATGCTGATAATGTTGGGGGAAAGAATATGATGTACTCTTTGAAGACGTCCCCGAACGATTTGAGGGAAATTAATGGAAGCGGAGAGGAATGGTTTAGAAAGATCGTGCGCGATCCATGCCCGCGATGGAGGGTGTTGCGAAAGAGTTCAGGGAAACCGCAGAATTAACCGATCGATTCCGGCACACTTCACAAACTCACTGTTGTTCAACACGTTAGTTAAACCGGCACACCAAACTCGAAAAGTTAGAATTATCCAATCGTTAGCATTATCCATCCAATTATAATTAGATGCCATTTTGTATTGGTGCACAGGTTCGCGCAACACTCCAAAATTGTAAAAATGGAATTCAAAAACCCCGATTTCCCAACCATCATTTACCTCGATTGCCGGACGTTGCCTTAATGTAGCAATCACTAGTTTCTGGTTTCTGGTTATGCAGGGGATTCAGAACAAACTTCTAAGGCATATAGGTATCGATGAGGATCACTTCTGGTCAATGTACATTTACATGTGGTGGAAAATTTCATATAACGAAGTTACACGTGGCCCGTTTTTGTGATAGCACCTGTGATTGATAGGTAATTCATATACTACACTGGTGTTTAGCTGCGTCAGCTTTGACTGCATCTAAACACGCAACTCAATTACCTCGCATGCATCAAACCTCATTGCTGTCATCTCGAGAAAGCAGTCTGTAGCCAAATACGTGCAAGAAATTTGAAAACCACTATATTGTCATTGTCAAAGAGCAATCGTTCCTGAGAGTTCGTGCATTTGCCAATCACGGCACATATACATTGAGCAAAAGTGACCTTCTTCGACCCACTAAATGCCCTAGAAGTTTGTACCATTTATTCTGATGTGCACATAACCAATTGAGGATTGTCCAGGCGCCTGCGATCGTGCGCACTCACCTTCGCGGGTGGCGGCGGCGGGCGCGTGGGCGGGCGCCGGGGCGGGCGAGGAGGCGGCCTTCTGCCCCGTGTCCGCCGGCTGCGGCCGCCGCCGCGGCAGCGTGAAGCTCACAGTCGTCACCTCGCCGTGGGTGCTCTCGCTCAGCTTGCCCAGGTCGGGCGTGGAAGTCCACGACGCTGGCCGCTGAGCGAATCTGGGAGCGGAACAGCGGGCTGATGTTAAACATCCGCGGAATGCTTGGCCGAAACGTGAACATCTCGGATTTCAACGGATTGTAATGAAATCAAAGTTCGAAACTCATTAGGGATACGTGGTTGGAGAAACTATTAAGAAATAAATGAGAAGGTATTTTTTGTAAATATTAATTGGAAGCGCGTTAGATTGACCGCAAGCAAAAAATACTAAAAACGGTGCCCGTTTTGTTAACTTACATTTTTAATTTGTTGTCTGATATAAGGAAAGAAAAGCCTTTTGGTTAAATAAGCTTGGGGTAACATGACATCAACTTCGATTATTGTAGTTACCAGGTAAATTTCCTTATATTTATGACGATTCATGTGTCTATTGAAAATTAAACATAATATTTTCTTTATGAGGTACATTTTGATTCTGTGCAACTTTGTGTGCTTTGGGTTAGAGGTTCTATTTTTCCAGACCATCAATACAATCATAACGTAAAGAGGCAGATTCGAGCTAATTACACATATTTGGCTTCCAATAATTCTCCAAACGAAAACGTACTGTGAAATGTTAATTATTCATTTTTAAATAAATTAATAGTAAAACGAGTGATTTATTATTATTGTTGTTATTATTATTATTATTATTATTATTATTATTATTATTATTATTATTATACTAATTGTCATTCCAACGCAAAAACTACGAAAGGTTTGCTTATTAGAGGAGCGAATTTACATTTTCTATTACGTCTAGAAATATTTGTTTTGCGAAGAGTACCATATTTTCAATTGCATAATTTGCAATTAATAATCAAATTACAATTACCCTTTAAGGAGCGTGAAAGAAAGCAACGCAGCCCGCAATACATATATACGTGGCGGGAGCCTTCCGCAGGGGCCGCTTATGGTTCATGTTTCGAGAAGAAAACAGCACTCATTTGTGTGACGGTCCATTCGGACGCGTCCCAACGATTATTTTTAAAAAAATGCACCAAAATAACTAAAATTGACATTTTTAGTAAAGAGACAAACAGTCGAAGGTGCAAGGTGGAAGCGTAAAGCGTTATTTATTTCTAAAAATCCAAGGGACTGTGCTGTTAGCAGACCAGTAAAGAGTAAATAAATAAAAAAAGAACATTAAGGAAAGACATACACAGTCACTCGAACTCTAGGTTATTATAGAATAATGAAAATATTTTATTAAATGAATGTTTGTGTGTTTGGCAAAGACAATTGAATGTTTTATAAGCAATGGGCGATTACACAAACGTTTAGAAGATAACAATGTTAGGAATTTGGAAAAGGGAAAGGTAATTAAATTTATTATTTGGATTTTAGTTAGAAATTATTGCAATGAAGAAATTAAGAAAATCTAAAGATATTTAATAATTGGAAAGTAAAAATGAGTTTGACAGAAGAGAAGAGCTGTCCTTTGTTTCAAACTGCGTGGTGAAAAAGAATAGAGCAACAATGCATATAGACAGACCGGTTTGCGATCTTGAGTGATAACATCGTGACGAAAGTCGATCTTTGATTTTCATGTAGAAAGGTAGTCAATTTCGCAAAGTGGTGCTCATGGTAGGAGCATTTTAATTAGTGAATGGTTCAATTGGGAATTAAAAAAAAAAAAAGAAAAAGATGGTAACCGCGACGAAAGGACGCAGATGTTTGCAGCAGTCTGAGACGGTGCAATTACGGGGTCAAGCAACCAGGGAGGTGACGGCAATTTTGCGAAACGATTTTGTAACAAGGACAAGACATAATTAATTACGTATTATTTAGTAAATGGCTATTAGAATCTATTTTATTTTCAAAAGGAGTTCACTCACGTGAATGAAATGTAAATTAAATATGTATGAATGAGTAAATGTTATTTCGATTTGTTTTCTTACTAGATATGTTGTGGTGGTACATTCAAAGTATAAATTCAAATATCGCGTTATGTTTTGTACAGTAGAATGCTGGTGTATGTACGGCGGAGAGCAGAATTCGCCGAGCCATTTCGGAATATTGTTTGCGAATAAATAATTGCTGATAATATTGACAACATTGTTAGAAATATGTGGGTATATTGTAGTAGGTAACAAAAAACCAATGACAGGAAAAATAATAAAAGAGAGCTAGGTTCCCAAATAAAAATAATAATATTTCGATTTCCTGTCTAAGGGCCACTTCGTGAATTCACCCCAAAATTATAAATTTGTACCATACAAGCATAACTGGTATTTTCATGATTTATTCGAGAAAATCAAACATTGTAGACTTGGCGGTCAACATAAAAAATTGTTATTCGCTTACAGATTTTGACTCGCTCAAGTGTGGGGCGAAATAGTTAAAAAGGTTAATTATTAGTAAATTTAAATTCTCAGGTTTATGATTGTTTACATTTGGGCATAAGAAATGTTGAAAAATATCAATTTGTTTCTTCATTGAACATTTTGAATGACATTGTAATATATTATAAGAGAATTTTAGAGTAAATGATGACCTTTACGTGCCAAAATAGATAAAATACTAAACATTTAGAATTTTGTAAAATCCATAGCAAACATAAGAAAAAATAAACGTAAATTATTGTTTAAAATATGTTAATTCCTTTAGACATTATTGTAAATAACAAATTCGAGTGCGTGTGCGTGTGTGTGTAAAACGTAGGTATACAGTTCTTTCAAGAATTTTCCAAGAATCCACCGCAAAGTGGCAACGACGGGTAAGACACCAAAGGCCTAAAGAGACATCTGACCTCACGCCTGATTGATATGTGAAAGTTTTCACATGATCCAAAATATATCTCATACAGTGAAGAGATCAACCACCCAATTACGTAATTGGGTCTAGTGTTTTGTAACAAACGATTTCAAGGATGCTAATTCGTAATGAATTATTGATGTTTCTCATTTTCTTTCTTTGTCTCTTCTATTTCACATTTACAAGTTGTTTAAAATAAATGCATTAAACATGACCATGTATAGCAATTTCCCGATTGTATATTTTAAAATGTCTGCTCTGTTTTCTTAAAAAAAAAGTTGTCTTAGCGTTTGCGGTAACCATTGCTTATTGCTTATTTGCGAGTTCGAGCGAGCGGGCGAGAAGCTAACCTGCTGGAGTCCGTGGTGCTGGAGCGCGCGTCGGAGTCGTTGCTGGAGGTGCTGGAGGCGCTGGAAGTGCTGCCGCTGCTCCAGCTGCTGCGCGACGAGACGCCCAACCCGCTGTCCTGACTGCTCCGACTGTCATCACGGCTCCTGTGGACGCACAGACACGCACGCGGCTCCAGATCCGAACGCACGGGAAATCTCACATAAAATCCTTTCAGAAATTAACGAGTTACTTAAAATTGAAGGGCTTGGGAAAGAAACAAAATAAGACGCTCGAGCTACAGAAAGTCTCGTGCTGTTCGTAAATGTTAACATATCTCGATTTTGATCAATGTTTGGCTTATCTCGTTCCTCGTCTTAACTACTACATGAAGGACTTGGGGCAGTACGAAAATGAACCACACATCAAATAGGGATATTCTCTTATACGAATATCGGAAGACGTCCTGTAGCTAACGTGGTTTTTATTGTTGCTGCCCGAATAACTTCAATTGTCACCCAGACCGAGAAGAGAACCTGGTTCTTCTGACTTACTATTGGGTCTCCTTGTTAATAGAAAACCTGCATTGGAAATCAGATGGGGGAGAAATTCCTCTAAAAATGTAAATATAACATTTGTACATTGTAGAAGGTAATGGATGGCATATCTGTACCGTATTGAATATATTTTGAGTTTTGAACTTCCAGAAAGAAGTATGACTATGGCTGTGTAAAGAAAGGTATTATGTAGTCATTCTGTCATCTTGCTCGTTATTCAGGAGACTATTTTAATATAAAGTTCGGAAATAAAGCAGATTTTTGAGAGGAATTTATAAAACAATTTATCGAGAAAGATTGCACATTAAATATAATTAAATACCTTGTATAGAAAACGAAAGCAACAAATAACTAAGAGGAAAATGAGTTAGGCTCAGAGATAACATCATACTTGATGCTTTCTGCCACTGATTTGGTTACAAAACTGTATAATATTCCACATGCGCTTTGATGTTAACATTTGTCTCAATGAATCAAATTTTCTTCACAGAAAAATACGGAATTTATTCAATGAATCAGTTTTGTTTGTGGCTGTATTAAATTAATATGATGGGGGTTAGTGAGCTATTCCTGGACTCACCGTGACGAAGAAGAGCTCCAATTGGACAGACTGGGGGTTGACGCCGACGCATCATCTTTGCGCAGCGTCGATTTGGTGTCGAGCTCCTTGCGGGTCCCATGCTCCTTGTAGTCTCTGCGCAACACAAAATAAACGGAGTTAATTAAAATGCAATAAATGCGTGTGTACTGTTTCACTATTGAGCAAACCCACTATTGAATCTCGCCACGTAAAATAAGGCATTAATTCAATTCAATTCAATTCAATTCAATTCAAACCCAACTTCGAAGGGCCAGTCTCTGAACTGCTTTACAGCACGACAGCCGGTAAAGTGTATGAACATTCGTACTAATATCGCCAAAGGTTTATTAAAAAACAGAAAGACTTAGACTCGGGAGATTAAAATGCAACAGAATATCAAAATACCGTAGTCAATTTAATTTTACATTGATGTTGAGACTTTTCTTGCTTCTGAACACTCGTGCTTCAAACTGGCGTACTCAAACCTCGAAAAAATTTAATTGATTCAAAGACGTCTCATTTTGTAGTTTATGGCTTAAGAAACATAACTCGGCCCCCCACCTATCCTCCACATGTTTCTGAAAATTTCTTCGAATGTTGTCCTGCACTTTCCCCACATGAATCTGGCATTTTCCATACGTTTGCCATGTATTCTCTGAATATTTCCCCACATGCTCTCACACTGTTCATCGCATATTCCTCCAAACGTTTAAGTGGAAATTCAGAAATTTACTTAAAGTTTGAATAATATATTTTATACGAAATACTTTTCTAAATCTTACAACTATTAACAGTGCAGAGGATCCCTTGACGACTGAAAGCAGTATTTTGAATAGTTACAGGATCTAGAAGAACCGATACTCTCCTGATTTTAATAGACGGGTTCACATTATCTTCTTTTGTATAAAATAGCTAAAACATTACTTGGGCCTCTGCGGAGGCCCGAAAACAGTGTTTTAAGGTACCTACTCATCTTTTTCGACTTGTGCTTGAAATTCAGAAATATGTTTCAGGTTCTCTTTTTATTAAGGGGAGTAAAGAAATGAGATCTATGAATTTATCACATCCTTTGGGTACTTACGCTACCAAGATTCCGTATAAATGACATTCCGTTATGTACTTTCCTTAATGTAGGGTAAAAGAAAAATACAATATTCTTGTACATATATTATATATAGAATATACGTATAATATATGTAAGAACACATACAGATTCAAATTCATTTTTGTTGTTTGAAAGATATTCATGCAGTTGAAATAATGGATTACAAATGTGTACTACAATTATTTGGCAGCTTTCTAGTCTAGGTCATGAACACAATCTACAAACTACAAGGTTCTTACGGGATATCTCGGTTTAAAGAGAACATGCGACCTGCCTATTTCGATTATCCGGCTCCGAATCGTTTTCGCGTTACGGAACAGATGCCTTGCTACCGCTTCCGAGGCAGGCGTGCTCTTTGGCACGCGACTGCCAAGCGTGAGGAGCAGGGGATGGGGGTGGCACTTCTCGGCTCTGTCGTTTCCACCGCCGTCGCAGCGGGAGAGGCGCGGGTTAAAAGGAGCCGCAGGGATTCTGCGAAGCGGCTGTGTCGGCGGTGGCGGCGGCCACGTCGGCAGCGGAGGCAGCAGTGGCGGTGGAAGAGGACTAGCGGTTGTGGCGGAGGCAATGGTGGGACAAAGTGGTGGCGATAGTAGAGGTGATGGAGGCTGCGGCGATGGCGGGGGATGTGGTGACGACGGTGACGTGGTGGAGGCGACTACAATGGCGGTGGGACACGTGGCGGCCGGTGTGGCGATGGTCGCGAAGGCGGCAGCGACAATCGTAGTGGCGGCGGCGGTGGCGTTGTTGGTGGCGGTGGTGGTGGCGGTAAAGCCCACGTCGTCGGGCAGAAACGACGATGGTGGCGGAAACGACGATGGCGGCGGTGGAGGTGGCAGCGATGGGCGCACACGCGGACTGCCTTGCCGCACATAAATACCCGCCGCGGCCGTCTGCCAGCCTCGGACGCGCGGCGGAGGGCGGCGGGGACAGTCGAGGCCGCGTCGTGTCCATTTGTCCAACAGAGAGGGCCTGCCCTTCAATGCAAGGCACGTTAGAATACGTTTTTTTATTACTGCTTGAACGCAAGGCCTTTAGCACCTGCATATGACTGTAGTTTCAAACATTGTAGGTGCTCATAGGTACAGTTTGTTTTATGGATGGATATTTATTATTTGATAAGTAGGTGGGAAATATGATGCTTTGCAGAGGACAACTACGGATGATCAAAAATATGTTAATTTCCTTTTTATCTTGCCTTATGCAAGAGGACAGTTTGTCCGCTGCTAAATGAAAAGATCCTGAAATAGTGCTTAACTTTTGGTAAACGTTTCATGTTAGTGGTTTCCTGAAGAAATCCGTAGGTTCTCTGGCTAGTTGATGCGTAGACGAAAGCAGTGGAAAATGGATTTGTGAGTAAATTTGATTTAAGTGACGATGTTAAAGTAAAACACAACAACAAAAAACTGTCCATCATTGTCTTTGGTAAAGACAAATACCGAACTAATTGACAACCAAGAAAATAATAGCATTTTATGAATACGGAATAAAGTAGATTAATGAAAATGGGTACATCAAATGCTTTCGTACACATTATATGACTGGTGAAAATTAGTTTTTGCATAGATATTACCATTTAAACGCATATTTTTTGAGGTTAATGATAAGTGATGTGCTTTAAAAGGTTTATATTTAAAAGAGAACCGAGAATTGTCACGGTCAAAATTTTAGGAAAATGTAGAAATAATTAATTTAAAATCAAATAGCAATTTGATCATTCAAAACAAATGGATTTTTTGCAGTTTCCAAACCGAGATATTTCCTCTCGATAATAATAATAAATAAAAATAAGTGATATTTTCAGGGAAGTGTGTTTCAAAATTGTGTAATGTAAATAATACATTAGTTTCTTAAACAGGGATTCATGTCCTGTTCAGTTATGCGAATATATCTGGATCTACTTTAAACTGTGGCTGAAGTGAATGAGTGATGCTTATATGAGAGGTGAATCTCTGCAAAGAAGGACATCAAAACTCAGTACATCTTGGCTTCTTCTAATCAAATTTGGGTATCTCTGAAACATGACAGTGTGAGCATTTGCGACTGGTTCTCCTGTTGAAACATGCACGGTGAAGTGCAGGGAGGAGAGCCCTATTGTTAGATTTGGCACATCATCACTGGAGCCCAGCCGGCGAGTGGGCGTCGGGGGAGGGGGAGGGGGGCTTTGGAGGCGGCGATTGCGTCTCTACAGGCCGCAGACGCCGATCGGGAGATGGAACGGAAGAGGAACAGCGATGACGAAGAAAATGCCAGGTGATGTGAAAGGGCGGAAACGATTGAGAGAAAAACATCGACGAATGAGGGGAAGCGAAGTGTTCAAGTGTAGTTTCCTTCAAATTTCTGAAAAGTGATACGATCTGAACTTGAGACACTTCCGGCCACCATTTTAGAGATAATTACAAATTATTATTAATTAAACCTTGTGTTTGCTTTTTCAGCCGAAAAGGTTAAACGGCTTGCAATGACCCAATTCACATATCCTGTATTTTACTACTGTTGCTAGCATTTGCATTTCGAATTCAATTATTTTTATGTTTTTTTATTTAGAGTATGTCTAATACAATTGGCGTTTCTTCCAGACATATAATTTTCTGAATATTTTTGAAGAAGACATCTACACTGAAGATGCTGTAAATAAACAAGAATGGGAAGAGTTATATTTCTTTGAGGTTAGTTGAATATCACTCTTTATTATTAATATAGTAGAAACGAAGGAATGAAGAAGATATGGGCATATCCAGAGAATATACAATAGGTGGCCAAAACATACCTGCGACTGGATACCGTCCAATAAAATGAAAAGAGTCAGGATCGAAAACATATAAACTGAGAAAAAATCTAATACTCCCATCAACAATAGTTGTAGTGAAAGTGTTGGGTGGATGCAGGGAAATATTAGATTGAACTTACTATAACTTACCACAGAAAACTGAATACATACATAATTGGACCGTTTTTCTCAAATTGACTGTATGGACCACAGAGGAATATGTTGGTTGCAAGTTTTTTTTCTCAATGTGGATTCAAGAAATCGCAGTGACAATGGAAAACAAGACTTGGAAGCAATGACCGGAGATATAGAAAGATGCCGGAGGCACCAACTTTGGGAAACTGATCGCATTAGACACTAATTCGCACTAGATACTCGTACTTTGATTTTTCCTGGTGGAAAAGTATTAATTTATCTTTGACAGGGATATAATTAATCCATATCAGGTTCTCATTTACGATTTCCGCACTTAGAAAAGATGAAATCAAGGAATCCCTATGATGGAAATTGGATAAGAACAAATTCGTGAGGAGACAGTTATTAGGATTCATTCAATCTGTGTTGTGTAAGTGAAGATGATGATTGTTTCACTCATCAGCGTTCTGTGATTTGCCTCCTCTTGGAGTTTTGAATGTCCTTTTCTCACGACAACAATTCCCAACATGATTAGAAGCCTTAAGTCATTACTTCGAGTGAGTGAATATTGATTACGGGAAACCCAATTACTTATGCTATTTAATCTCGTGAGTGGAGAGCATGTTGCAACCCGGACGGAGGATGTTACCCTCCCCCGACTGGAATGTGAGATCCAGAGCCAACCTACACGTCGGCTTGCGAATTCTTTCTCCCCAATGGGATAACTCCCAACAAACTTTACGCTTCCTACTAGTCTCCCGACTTGAGTAGACACGTCGAGCATGTAAGTGTGTATGTGTATTTAAGGGGAGAAGAGGGGACAAGGATGAGAGAGAAAATATCGCGAGCGGTCCCTGGTCCAGTTGATAGGGTACTGTTCCAGCGTTTATTTTGATCATCACTTCAGAACATCCGGCTGCCAGAATTCTCCTCTAGGGAGAGGTTACATTCGACTCTGCTACACAGCTAGTGTGAAAATTCCTCCACCGTCGGGACTCGCGCCCTGGGACTTCCCGGCCAAGGATGCTGCTGATGCAATGATGTTGACATTGAGCTCTTTCAGCTGGCACCTCCGTCTCAGCTCTCACAGCCGGTGCTAGGCGAGAGCCGTGCAGGGCCGTGCAGACGGGGCGCCGTCGGCGATCGTGCGCTGGAGGCGGGACAATGCTCGCCCTCCGTCCACTGGCCCTGGGAGGCCTATTTCGAGCGGCGCGGGTCGCCGACTGCGTCGGAGCGTCGCCGGCCGCCTCCGCCGCCGCCGCCGCCGCCGCCGCCCCTGGCGCCCGGAAGCGCCGCGCGCGCCTCTCGTTCGCCCCATCACACACAGACGCGAGGGTATTTTGATACGGTGGACGAATCTTCGTCTGGTCCGTGCGACGCCCGACTCATTGGCAGCTTGTGACTGAAATGGCAGTTTGATGGCAGCGCGTGGGATGTTGCGATACCTCCATAATATCGATTCAACTTGATACTTTCAGAACAAAAACTGATGAACGAAAATAGAATCAAAGGACACGTGGACACCTAAGACACCAGAGCAGGTGTATGTATATATGTGTGGCTGTGTGGGAACGTGTGTCAGCGTGCTTGTACATGTATCATGAAGAGTGAGGGCTAGAGTGTAGTGCTTGACACGGGTAGGAGTAGACATGCCCACAAACGGACGGGATAATCTAAAATTTAAGTTCTAGTGGAGAGCAGAACATACGCCGTTGAAAGCAATTCAACAAACACGTCAGGAGATCAGTAAGGACCTTAGAGCTTGTCCCGGATGGCGCGTTGCCTCGCTGGTGGGAGATAACTGGTTGGGGAAACCCTGCAAGCCGACGAGTAGGTCGGTGCTGTATCTTGCCATCCAGAGGGAGAGAAAACCGCCACCTCTCGCGATAAAAAACAGACATTACACTTACGGGATTAATTATCTCAGCAGTTGTCGCGTCCGAAATCACTAATCATTCAATGAAGCTACTGATTTCTTTTTTAACATGACAATTAGCCGCTAGCTTTGCAGTTTTCACCTAACTAATACAATGGTGTTTGTGAAAATTCCGAAATTTCCGAAAACACAAAATTTTGCCACACAGCACACCAGTGATCACGTTCCCATGCCCATTGCTATCTGAGGCTCCAGCCCTCAGTAGCCGGTGTCGAATCGTTGACGCAGACGTGACAACACCCGTTGCAGTGCTTCAAAGTCGCGCCAACATTGTGGACGACACCGTTCTGTCGGTTACATCCATGCGGAAAAGTTGGCGGTCATCTCGCGCTGTGGTCACATTGTATGGTTCACTACCCGCGTCACTGTCGTATCATGCACCCCATTCGAGCCGCAATGTCACAGTACGACAAACCCACTTTTGGGAGACCAATCATTCTGCCTTAGTCACACTCACACAAATACTAATATTTAGCTCTTTTTCGTCGACGTGGCATACCGGCATTTGATTAAAAGTTTACACGACATTTGACGGCTCTACACCAACTGAGAGTGGCGTAACACTGACCTGACCTATCACACAAAAGAGGGTACTAAAATAATATAACCAATCAACTTGAAAGAATGTATGATCTTAGTGCCACAATTATCGCACAGAGAAATACACGTTTTCTGACTTGTATGAATCTGTGTCTTCTTTTTGTGACATTAGATCATTTTCCCAAAAAAAATGTTTGCTTTCTTTCAAAGCAATGAAGAAAATTACGTAATGTACTCTCAGGAGAGTGTCTCAAAAGAGACATTCTTCAGAAGAATAGGAAAGTGTGTTCTTTGTCTTTCGTCTCTCAATGTTACTGAATTTCCGTTTATTGCTGTCGGCACTGCGACAAATGTTTATGCTGTGCTTGCGTCAACCCACCACAGAAGAGGGTTTCATGGACAACAGCGAACGTCTGCAATATTCTCACAGCTTTCGTTTCATGGTGTGAATAGTTTTATCGAGCTCCCGACGTCTCCCCAATAGCAAAATGAAGAGCGAGTTATTACCATCGGAACGTACTTTAAAAACAAACACAACAAAGATGACTATCATTTAAATTTATATAAAAAAATCTATATTTCAGTTTTCAAAGGAA